CACAAGCAAAAAGAACATGCTCAGTTTATTTCAGAAAGCTGACATTGTGCCCGAGATTATTCCTTTCCATTTTCCAGAGCTAAATAATTTTACTAGTGTGGATGCAGGAATATTGAAAACAAAACTCATGACTAAAGAAAAAAGAGAGTCTTAACGGATTTTGCTGTGATTTCATTTTATTGTTCTAATTCTCCTCTCAGAACTTGGACAGTGTGTAACCATGGTATATTTCAGCACCCTGGAGAGCACAAGAGCATCATCGAGCGAGTGGATCAGCACCTTGGACAGAGCGTGAGATTTCAAGTGACTCCTTCATCTATTTTTTTTCCATTCTTACTCAAAATGTAACACTGTTCTTTTCTCACATAGACACTCACATAAGTGGAGCTACAGAAAATATAGAAAATATGGAAACTGGTTCTCTCTACATTGTTCACTGACCATATTAAATGAAATAGGATTTATTGTTGAGTATTGCATTACATTGTGAATCCCATTTAACACTGATTTTTCTTAACTGCTAGCATTTGTATTTTGTGAATTGCTTTTCAAAGGGGATGGCTTTCCCTTTAAATTCCCACAGCATCTTTTTTATTTTCAGAGTGAGCCCCAGTAAGAAAAAGTGAAGATTAAATAAACCCAAGCAAATAATAAAATGTGAATCCATAAACTTCCATATTGGGCAATGGCCCTCTTGGGTCCTTAACCATTAATTATTGGCAGAGATTAGTAGCTTAGTTTAGCTTTTATCCAGCTCTCCAGCATCTCTACTAAGCAACACTTCCCAAAGACTGGAGTCTATATGATGATTTTTGAAACTGATCTGAATCTTTGAGTTTTAATGAGAACAGAATTAGGATGGTGCTAGAGGCCAGGATATTTTAATTGTAATTATAATCTTTATGTGCAATGCTAATAGAAAAAAAAAACATTTTTTCTTTAATAATGTCACCAGGCAGGCCAATTCCATTTACATCCTTTGGGATGTAAATTCCACTGAGCTCAGTCAACTTTTAGTGTATAGCCTACACAGACATTTAAACAGTTACAAGAAAGTCTAAGATGAGATTCTTTGTTAATAAGATAGCAAATTGAGTATGTGATTATAATAAAAGTTCATAAGTTTCTGTGTCCATATATATTATGTGAGAGGGAAGTCTCTCATAAGCTTCATTAAATGCAGTAGCTATGTTAATGTTTTGTTTTCATGTAATCAAATTTCTTCCTATCCATCTTGCAAATTTCTGCAATTCTAATTGCAAGTATGTGTGTCTTTTTAAAAAAAGTGCTCTTCAAATTATTTAATATGAAAGTTATTCATATCAAGTTTCTGATAACATTAAATTCAGAAAAAAATCTGAATGGAAATGTGTGTAAGTGTGAGCAAGAGAAAGCAAAGAAAGGTTTTTATTTAATAAATACAAATGAAGTAAGAGCAGCATATATTTTAGCAGGCTTCCAAACAGTTATTGATAAAGTAATCAGCTCTAAAAATTATGCCCTCATGTCATTTTCAGAAACAAAAAAGCAAGATTAAAGAATGTATCTGAAATAGATGCAACTATTATTTTGCTGAACAACACACATGAAAACTTTACACACACACACACACACACACACACACACACCTCTTAATCAATTTGCTTTTCCAAAAGCTCTGTTCTTTGAATCCCATGACGTATATAAACTACATATTTGTACGGATTTGTAAATCAACTGTGATTAGAATAGATGTTGAGTATTTTTACTCTCAGTGCCTCTCCTTCAAATACCTAGATTTTGGGCATCCTTACGAACATTGTAAGTTTTAAAAGTTTAGAGTCAATGCCCCTTCATTTCTTTGGCAAACACCAGTCTCTTTGTATGATACTTGTTTAAGCATCCAACATGTAAAGGGACTTATGCATATTGATAAATTATTTTTACCTCCAGTTCAGCTACCAGCATTTGAGTAAAATTTAAAGCGAAAAGATGGGAGGGTGAATGGGAAAGTTTCTCAAGATGAAGTTGCTGTCCCTTTAAAGAGTTCGGCCTTGCTTCAGGGAAATAGCTGGCTGTTATTGTCCAGTTTGAACTGAGCACCGGAAATGGAGAGGCTATTTGCCCTCCCGGGTTCGTACTGGTCACTCCGGCTATTGTCCTTGGCCAGCCGTGAAATCTCCCCCAATCCCCCCAAAAGGAGGGGGAGGGGTTGAGGGGTGGGAGGCAAACTGGGAAGCTCCCCTTCCTTCTCCTCCTGCCCCCAGACCACAAGATGCCTCACAAAAATCAGGCATGACCTCTCCCCGCCCCATCTGCAACCCTTCCACTGGCAGAGTCAAGGGGGGGGGGGGTGCGGCGAGGAAGATGATGGGGAAAAAGGAACTTTAGACCTTTGGCTCTTTTCCCCTCCAGGATCATCAAATGGGCCATTTCCGCTCAAAATATAACTCCAAGTGTACATCGGTTTGCAAGGGGAAAGGGACAGGAGAGCACAGGGAGCGCAAATTGCTCCAGAGTTCTGGTGGGCTAAAGACAGAATCCCTTTCCTTAATTTAGGGCGGGGGGGGGAGGCAAGAAACCAAATCGTTTCAAATAAGAGCTACGTTAGGAGGAGAGACGTGAGTTCCCGCCCCCCACCCCTCGATTCCCCAAGAATGTGCCCGCGCGTCTCTCCCGTCCCTCGTGCACGCGTTTCGGGGTATTTTCCTCTTCCCTTCTTTTCATCGATCATCGCCTTTCAGTGCTCTGATCGCCTCTCATTTTATCCGATTGTCTTTTGAGCAGCCCCCAGGCCCCGCCCACTCCAATCCATCCACCCTGGAGCTGCGGCGAGATAATATAGACATCAGGATACATCCACCAGCGCCCCTGCCTGCAAAGGAGTCTCAGCCCAGGAGTGTGCTCCAATCGCTTTGGCCACCACCTCTCCCCTCCCGCCCCAGGATTTGATTAAAACCGGATTGTGCCCTGCAAAGCCAAGATGAACGTAAACAAACTTGGTTAGCCCCGCCAAGGATTTTATTGGGGGGGGGGAGCAAATACTGTGTCTTCTTTCGATAACTTTTCAAGCTCACTGACCGATGTGCATACCAGCGAAAAACCTTTGCATACTATTTTATAATTCCAGTTGATTTTTAAAATAAAGATCAGCCTCTTCCTTGTAAAACAGCAGTATTTGCGATTCCATCGGTACAGAGCGCGTATTAACATGTAATACTTTAACGATTTCAAAGTTTTCATTAAGACCTTAGACCTTTCATTAGCTCGATGTAAATTATTTAAAAACGTTCTCCCGTGGAGAGTAAAGGCTTCGAACAAAATAATGGATTGGTTTCCCAATTACCGCCTTAAATCTCATAATATCCGACTTTCTCAGTTTTTGCTGTAGAGATTTTACGAAGTATATTCAAAGTAAAAATATGTCTTGCTTACACATTTACACCTCGTCTTTATTACATCAGGTAGAGAGAATTCATCTAATTTTTTAAATGAACGTTCTATTTACAAAGAAAATTTAAAAAAAATTGGGGAGTTTTTCCCCCTTAAATAACCAAGTAGAACTTTCAAGTTTTCAACCACAGCCCGAATTTACTTGGGATTCCTCTTTCCCTTTGAAATATCTACCAATCATACATATTCACATATAAAATATAAAATACATTCATACTCCCAAATTACTCTGCCTGTCTTCCCTCTGCTCTAGTTTGAGGAATACACCGGGATAAATCGGGGATCATTCTAACTTACCTATTAAAGAAAATACAGGGATTTTATTTTTATTTTTTTAAATCACCCGCAATCTTACTTCTCTCCCGAAATACTGGAGGGTGACAAAATGGGAAAATTGGGGGAACCAGCCTGGCCTTCATCCTTCTCTTCCTCCTCCTTCCATTCCCCAAACCAACCAGAGGAGATTCCCAAAAAGAATGGCGGGCGCGGCAATCAAGACCATTCATCAAAGAAAGAGGCTTAACTTGCTAATGGAGAAAGGAATGGAGAGGGAAGGAGAGGGAGGGGCCTCTCTTTTTAAACAGGTCGTTTAGGATCAAGCTGATTCGATCCTAACCCAACGGACTAGTCTCTCTCCCTCTCTCTCTCTCTCTTTCTCTCTCTGGGTGTCAATCATTAGAATCTCCCGGTCTCTTGGCAATAGCAGAAAGTAGTCCGGATAGGAAGAAGGCGCTCCTTACCTCCCCCGGCAGGTAAACCCGCCCCTCTCTTCCAATTCACCAAATCGAGGAAAAATACCCCCCCTTTGGAATGGCCAAAGTTGATGGGTGCGATCGTCACGTGGCGAAAGTGTGTGCGTGCGCGCGCGACCTCCCTCCCGCCGCGCACGGCCCGCTTCCTCCCCCCCCTCCCCCTCTTGAACCCGAACCCAACAGAACCCCGATCATGACCGCCCTGCGGGCTTCCAGGGAACCCCTCCCCTTCATGTTCCAAAGGCAGCAAGATTGATAACGTGTGAAAACGAAAGTTGAAGGGATGGGGGGGGGGAATGTTGGGTTAGTGTGTTGTGTGTGTGGTTTTTTTTTTTTTAAACTTTTGACACTAACCAGGATTTCTCCCCAAACCACCACCACCCCCTCCCGGTTTCCCGGCTCCAGCCTGCCGGACGGGAGGCAAGAAGGTTACATTTTTTGGTCTCCAGAGAGAGAAGAGCGCAGAGATTGGGGGGAGGGGAGGGGGAGAGGAGGCGGGGAGGGGAGATCTCGCAAGGTTTGGCGTTGAGGGAATTCTATTGTCTCTCCCGAAAATTTGGGAAGCCATAGGAGGCCTCGGGCCCTCCCACCGCTATTGTTGCCACGAAGATGTAGCAAACCTTGGGCTGGCTTTTTCGTCCCTCCTCTTGTTTTTGAATCTTCCCCCACCCCCTCCTGTCCTCTTTTCCCCCCCTCCCCTCCCTCTCTTTTTTTGGGGGCTGGGGAACTGCGGTGACACCCTCTCCGAAGCAGGCTGGCAGAGAGGAGGGGAAGCGGCTCCTGCTAAGAGTCCACCATTTCCATCAGGGGTGCAGAATGGGGTCTGTTTCTAACCAGCAGTTTGCAGGTTAAGTGAAATTTTCCTATCCAATTTTCCTCCCCCCCTCTCGTAAAATGTAGGCCTTTCTCCCTCGCCTCTCTTTCGTCGTCTTTCACTTTTCCTTCACTTCTTGTCCATCCTAGTTTGGACACACAAAAAATAATAATTCTGCGCTCAAAGAGATATTTCTGGTTTCTTCTAATATTGAACCGGCCCCCTTTCGCGTGAAAAGACTTATTACCATTTCTACCCCGGCTTCTTACTTTTATTTCATTTTTATGACTTTTTTTTTTGAGGGAGGGGGGCACTATATCCTCTTCCTTGGTTTGCCATGTGCTTTTTTTTTTTCTTTTAGGAAAGGAGGTGGAGGAAAGAGCTCGGAAACTTTTTGCCGTACTGGCAGCTGGAGATGTATTATTTTTAAACGAGAAGGGCTGGGGTGGTTTGTTTTTTTGTTTTGTTTTATTAAAAAAGGCGCACGTACAGATTCCCAAATGGTTTCGGGAGAGGGAAAACGTTGCCCTCTCTGGCTTGCATTGTTTTCCCTTCAGTCTGCATTTTGCATTCGACTTCTTCACCAGCCTTTCCAAACTTTGAGGAGAATTTTCCAAAAGGCACCAGGACAGGAGCATTATGGGGTTTTATTTTCTCCCATCCCCTAAAAATATCCACCGGCTTCGCTCTCTTCCTCTCACCCCCCCACTCACCCACCTACCTTCTCTTAATGTTGCAAAGTTCGAAAGGAAAATGCAACAAATATATTTTAATATATTTAATATGTTGCCACCTTACGGAATTTGGACGAGCCAAGGGAAATGGCCAATATTTCCGTCCGTCCCCTCCCCCATTCCCGGGATTGTATCTTGTTTAGGGATTCCTCCCCGGGTCTACCATGGAGGGACGATTAAAAGGTGGGCTTCCCCCCACCCCCCCGCGCGCCTATCCTCAAAAGAACCCAAGTGAGGAAGCCGAGGATGCCTCCTCGGCTGGGCAGGAATTCCAAGCTGGTCTCCGGGCAATCGCGGCATGGCGGGCCGAAGGTGGTGTGGGCTGACCGAAAGACAAGCCGGTTCCCCCCCCCCCCCCCCGGCCGCCCAGGGCGTCTCGCCCGCCGGCAATAGGAAAGCGAGGGGGAAGCCGCCTTCCTGGACTCGCCTCGACTGATGAACCGCGTGTATGCTTCTAGGTGGCTGCGCGAAGGCGGGCGAGGAAGAGCCCAGCGGGGATTCGCCCAGGCCGGACGAGGAAAGCCAACCGCTGTTGCATGGCGCCGGGATCTGTAAATGGTTCAACGTGCGGATGGGCTTCGGGTTCCTCTCCATGATCACCAAGGAAGGCATCGCCCTCGATTCCCCCGTGGACGTTTTCGTGCATCAGGTAAGCGGGGGAAGGGACCCGGGGAGGCGGAAGGAGCGGGTCGGAAAGCTCGGATGGGGAAAGGTGGGTGGGGGGCAGCGCGCTTCCTCCAGGGGCTTCGGGGGGGGGGGGGGGAAAGACAGCTTGGGGCCTAAGAGCCCGGCCAGCGTGGGCCTTCGGTGCTGCGGACGCAGCCTGGAGAGAGTTGGCGTCTTCGCGCAAAGTTTGGGAATTGCGCCTTGGGGCGGATGGGCCAGAGGGCATAAAGCAGCGCAAGGGCGGGCGAGAGGCTTTTGCAGAAAGCGGGTCCCCGGAGCTCTGCCGGTTCCCACCTTCTCGTTTCTAAGAAGGAAGGTCTCTCTTCTCTCCTTCGCCGAAAGGCCTCTGCGGACCACACCTCGTCCCTGCGCGAATTTGGGCTTTCACGCGCGGTTTTGCTTTTAGGTGCATGTGGGCCTTCCCCCCCCCTCCGTCTCCCGCACCTCGCCCAGGCTTCTTCCCTCTTTCGAAGGCAGAAGGACCAGTTCCTGGGCTCCTTTGCTTTCTTTTGCTGTAAAGCGATAGCGGCTTAATTTCATTTAAAACAAAAACAAAAAAACCCCTTCCCCTTTCTTTCTAATAAATGGCCCGCTTGGGACTTTGCCTTTTAAAAATGGGAAGGGGATCCGGAAGAGCCGCGGCGTTAAAAGCAAGCCTTCGTGGTCACTAATCACGATTGCAGTGATGGGAGGGGAAGAAGCAGTTGCAAACAAAAAAAAAAAATCTTCACAGGGAGCTACTGAGTGTAAATTCTTCCTGTCGCAAATGAAGAGGAAAAAGGATAGGAAGACAAGGCCTTATTCGCCTTGATTTCCATGGGTTAGAGACACAAGGAAGAGGATTCCGTGCTGCATCACAGAACTAAGGAGTCATAACTAAATACATGACAATCAAATATCTTAACTTGTTAACTTAGCTTGTTAGCGTGGTATATTTGCTTTAGCAAGGCAACTCTACATTAGGTTGGCTTGTACAACATCCTCTGTTACAAATCATGGTTTAAAAGAACAAATGCTGTGTTCACACAATCCACTAAGCCAGGGGTCCCCAAACTTGGTAACTTTAAGACTTGTGGAGATTAATTCCCAGAATTCCCAGCATAGCTGGCTGGAGAATTCTGAAAGTTGAAGTCTACAAGTCTTAAAGTTGCCAAGTTTGGAGACCTCTGCATGAAGCTAAAAGCAAACTAACTGGGTTTATGTAGCATTGCTTTATATACTCTCTCCAAAACAGTTGGTGAAGCTGCCAGCATCCTGCCCTAAAGTATCTTAGTATGGAACATAAAAGTGGTAGAGGACTACTGCTCCTTGAGATGTTGCTGGACTGAACTCCCAGGAGTTTCAGCCAACATGAATGCTGGGAATTGTAGTTCAGCATCTGGAAGGCCATCCTTTCCTCATTTGTGAAAGGACATAGCATTAAAGTTTTTGTGCAATGTTACAATAACACATTTTACTAAGAAAGGCCTTGCTGCCACAATATTTCTTGGCTGCAGTCCAGTAGGCATGACAGCTCCTATGCCACTGATGTCAGGATGATGTGTTTCTGATTAATAAGAAGTGGTTGATATGCTTCCAAATGTTGCTTGAAGCCCATTGCAGTGTAGTCTATTTCATTATTTGGGAACAACTGCTTTCCAGATGTGTGTGTGTGAGGATCCTGTATATACCTAAGATTCAGGTGGCTCTAATGTTGACAATAGATCAATACCAAGAATCTTGGGACAAGACAGTAGTACATTTTTGTGGGTAAAAGCTTAATGACCATAGTATGGGCAGAATACTCAGCTACTGTGTTACCATCTCCTAAATTCTGATAATTCAGGGAAAGGCTGCCCTTGGGGATTATTTAAAAACATAGGAGTTACTCAAACTAAGCTGGCCTGTAATTAGATCCTGCAAGCCTGTTGCGTTATTAATACAATTTTATTTAAGACTTCCACAGGAAACAGTGACCCAAAAAGGGTGTCATGGATGGTACAAGGGAAATTGAATGTCAATTGAGGTGCAGGATTTTTTGTTTTGCAACAGAAGTATAACAAGTGTGGCTTTAAAACCAGAAGTTGCAAGGGGAAGATGATTCACAGATGATTTTAAGGATAAGAGAATTTCGTGGAAGACAGGCATAACTGATAAGAATCCATTTCAAGTTTATCACTGCTTAAATAAACTTGATATCACCAAGATGGCTCTTAGGTATCAGAACAAAATGGAACTTCCTGTTCAAAGATAGTCTTCTAGATCCTTGTAGGAATGCCACACAATATACTATGCCTATGAGTGTCAGAAGAGTTGGTCACAGCTGGGAATGGAGAGGAGGTAGGTGAATGTTATTAAATGAATGAAATAAATATTTGTGTCCCATAGATAAGGAAAGAGAAATTTACATTAACAAAATTGATTCATGTTGAATTTGAAATACAAGGTACTTTTGTTTTCTTTACCCAAAGTTCATATCAGCTGACAATAAAATGGTTGCATTTTATATTTCACCCCAAAAGGGAGGGAACATTGTTTCCTTGCCCCAGCTGCAGCCCAAATTTTTATAGTATAGTACTTAATAGAGCTTTCCCAGATGATGCTGGCTTTACAGTGGGATTTCTTTCAGAGTATTTCTGTACTGTAAGCCTATCTTTTTCCACATTTTAATCAAGCTTCCCATTTTCTCATTTCCGTTTTCCAAATTCTCTTCCCATTCAGCCTAATGAATAATCCTAGTGAACTCAAAAGCTTGCTCATTATTTTGGCTGACCCTATTAACAGTTATCAGCCAGCTGTGGATTTTACTTTTTCTCTAAGTGCACCACATGTCTTCCTTTGCTTCTTGAAAGTAAATAATTAATCTGTGAAAAGTAGCACCTTTTGAATTAATTTCCTTGCAAGGGCAAGATAGCCACATTCCTCATTAGGCAGTTTTCTTCACTTTAATCATGTTTGTTCTTACTGCATCAGATAAAATACTGCTGCAGTTTCTGGCTGGTACTTATTTTCTTTGGGGCCATGCCATTCTTGATGGTATTATGCTATCATCCACATGAAACCTTTTATTGTTTACAGAGGAAAGATAAGCAAAAAGTTCTGATTGTAGATCTTGTTTATACAGGTTGAGAAACTGGTATAACACCAGTTCTGTAATAGATTTGAATTTAGCGGTACAAGGTCCAAATTATAATAAATGTGTATGCATGCTCCTTCTGATTCAGATGGAGAACAGAATGTTAAGATTTGATCATGAGTAACCCTTCTGAAACAAAACAGTTGTTCAGAAGAAAGCCTAATTTAAGACAAGAAAATCCACTGTAACAACTAATTGGAAAAAGCTTCAAGTTTATCTTTGCTTGGAAACACCTTTCCTTGTCCTAATTTACTTGAGTGGTAACTGAAGTGTGTGTAACGCAATCTTTGGGTAGAGATACAGCCTTTGTGCAACAATCCTCAAAATATATAGACTCAGAAAAAAGCCCCATTAATTTCACTGAGGAATGGTTAGGTGGCCAAACTACAAACAAGATTATTCAGAAGAAGAGATATAGATGTTGACCTAGAAGCAAACCACTGTCCTCAACAGTTTGGAATTCATAGAAGATATCACAATGCTGTAATCTTACACATATTTACCTTGCTAAGTTGAAAGCACTTAGAGGAATGCTTATAGGATTGCATTTTCAATGGTGCTAGTTCATATGACTAAATGTAGACTGTCCCTTTTTTTTTTAACACAGAAATGATGATTGTGGATTTGATAAGGCTGTGAGGCTTGTGTGTGTAAAGTATTTTATGATTCACATTTGCTGGCTTTTTTGATATGGAATTGTATTTTATAATGTCTGTTCATTATGTAACGAGAGGTAGATGGGAACTCCACTTATTTTCAACTCTTAGATATTAAGTTAGTTGACCCATATAGAATTCATACATACATACGCAACACATATTAACACACATAGCTGCTTTGGATAATTCTTTGGAATTTTCATGAAGTTTCATTCACACCCAGGCACATGATAAATCTACAAAACGAATGTATACAGCTCCTGATTTTGGTATTTTATTGACCCTCTACCCCTTCTCTGGGAATGATTTCCCCAAGTAAAGGTTTAGATGAGTTGATGAAAAAGCCTGAAGGGAATAAACCTGGAATGCTGATTCCCCTGTTTTCTTTGGAGAGAGATGCATGGAGGTACATTGGCTTTGTTTTAACCGCCTTGTCTGTTGCTTGGAATGTGGCTGAAATTTAGAGCTTTGGGAGACCTTTGAAACCCATTCCCCTCACTTGGAAGGCAAAACAAACATTTTAGATTGATTTTACAACTGATTGCAAGCACTAATAATAGTCTGGTGCAAAAAAATTGAAGGATTCTGGATGTTTTTGTAATGATTTTGTTATACTCCCATCTATTAGACAAAAATGAACATAACTGTTTATAATTTGTTTGAAATATGCATGTTTGGGCCACATGAGGGTAAGGAAACCCTTAACATCAAGCTACTCTTTCCTTCTTAAGATTGACTTTAACCTGCAAACTCCAGGCTGAATGTTTTTCAACTTTCACCCTGCTTCCTTTCCCCATTTGTTGTTGTTGTTGTTGTTGTTGTTGTTGTAAGAATTGCCTGAAAGAATTCTGGAGATCTTAAAAGCTTGACGCTGTATTGTATAATATTGTACCTTTTTTGTTGGCCCTAATAAGGGAATGGCCTAGCTGTAGATTCTGATTCTCTCTTAGATCAACACCTCTTCCTTGTTTCTGTATTCTTTAATATCCAGACATGCTTTTATAGCCACAGTTTCAGGATACTTGTGTTCTACTATGCTGTCAAAATCTTGGGGAACTTCTTAGGACTGTGTTACACATTCTTTTATTCAAGTGCCTAGTATATTAGATTTCACAAATTTATGGCATAATGATTATAAGGACAACTGATACATCTGATGAATGCTGATTACAGTGAGTTTAGATATAAGGGGCCAGCCTTTCCTTCAGA